GGGGCTGGGTTTTATTAAGGGTTTCGAGGTTTTTTTGCGGTGAAGGTTAGGTGATTTAGGGGAAGGAGGAGGGAAGCGGCGGTGGTTGCACGCCGGCGTGAGGGAGGAAAAGTCTGGGAGCCGGCATCGGCGTGAAGGAGGGTTGGTGGCGGTGGTTGGGGGCTCCGGAAGTAGCGGCGGTGGTGGAAGGGAGGTTGTCGTGGATGGGCTGTTTTTATTTTAATTTTTTTTCCTTTTTTTTTAAAAAAAAGGTCAACCAACCATGTGGTGCCACGTGTCCCCGTTTCGAATTATTTAAAAATAATTCAAAGTTGGAATTCTTTTGAGTGAACCGCAAAAGTTGAGATTTTTTAATTTTTCCTTGTTAATATATCTTCAAAAATTAACTTGAATTATAATAATAATAACATTTAGTAATTAAAATTATTTACAAATAACAAGATAATGATATTACATAACAAACAATAATAGTATACAAATAGCAACATTAACAAGTATATTAACTATTAAGCGTCAATCGGAATAGAGCAGCCTATGCAGCAGTCCACAAAGCGTCCAGCCTTGTTGGGGAGCTTGAAGAGGCTAGGATAAAAGCTGCGATAGAGCAGCCTATGCAGCAGTTGGGGTCAATCTGGAAAGCCCCGAGTGAAGGCCTCTATAAACTGAATTCGAATGCCTCCTGTTTCGATCAACAGGCGCTAGGAATTGGGGGTGTGCTACGAGACAATGAGGGTGATGTGTTGTTAGCTTGCCGCTCATGCTTGAAGGGGACTTTTGAGGTGGGATGTAGGGGAAGCAATAGCAATGAGGCACTGCTTATTGATAGCTAAAGAAGCAGGGTTCAGGGACTTTGTTCTTGAAACGGACAATATAAAATTGTTTCACCATATGAAGAAGGGTATCATAACCCCAAATGCTTTTGGTAAAGTGGTGTTGGATGTTTTGAAGCTCATCAAAGATTGTAGAAGAGTGGTGTTTTCTTTTGTTAAAAGGGCGGGCAATGGAGTAGCGGATAGATTAGCGAGATTAAGTTGCAATTACAGTGAGTGCTGAGTTTGGCTCGAAGAGTAACCTCTTGAACTTCAAGAGGTTATTTGTAAGGATGTTGCAAACTTCATGCTTTAATAAATGACTAAGAGCATTGTCAATGGTGAGCAAAAATTTTGCGCATGGGCATTTTTGATGGACTTAAAATTTGATCATCTTCTATAATTGTGAGCAAATGAGAAAAACCCAAAAAATGCTCATGAGCATTTCTGAAAATGCCCATAGCTTGAGCATTTTTGATGATGAATAGTAATTATTGTGGGCCCCACAACGTACAGCCAGAATAAAAAAAACAAAAAAAAAAAAAAAAAACGCTGACCCCATATCAAAACGCGTCGTTTAGCAAATTGGGCCAGAGGATTGCAGCTCAAAACGACGCATTTTGAGGTCCAAATTTTGGAAAAAAAAAAAATTAAACACTGACTGACGTGCATCAATCAGTCAGCGAATGAGGGGCTGCCACGTGTCGCTTGCAGTTTATGGACCAATCAGAAAATTCTAGCTGTTACACAACGGTAATATTATTGTAATTGAATTTCTGAAAAATATGTTTATTAAAAAAAATAAAATTACCAACGGTCATAAATTTTTTTTCATATAAATAGAGATGCATTTTGGTATATTTTGATATAATTTCATAAAAACCATAAATCCTCCATATTCTTATTTTTTCATATATTTTGAAATTGTAGAAGAATATTTTTGTTGTATTTCACCCATTTAGGTAAATATGTTTTTTTTAATATATATAAAATCAGTTAATTATTAAAATTAGTATATATGTGATTTTTTGCAAATAAAAAAATGTAGGTCATGTAATGTAATTGCAATTATATATATAATTGAAGAAAATCGTTGATATTTTGTCCATACAATACAAAATTTGTAGTTAATTTAATTTGAAATTATTTGGTAATTTTTTTGGAAAATGGGTTGTTGTTTTGTATATGTGAAGTAATTTGTTATGATAAAATATATTGTATATGTTATTTTTGTGTAGGTACTTAATTTGTTGTCATTATAATTTTTTTTTTATACATTCAGTTATATATTAAATTTAGTAAATATGTGATTTTTTGGCAAATAAAAAAATGTAGTTCATGTAATGTACTAGCAATTATATATATAATTGAATATAGGAAGTTGTTATTTTGTCCATCCATTCGTAAATTTGAAAATTAATTTAAGTGTTTTGTATATGTATAATTGAATTTATGCTAAATAATATTTTATATGTTATTTTTGTGTAGGTAGTTAATTTCGTTACATTATATTACGTATTATATGTTTTGTGTATATGTTGGTGAATGTGAAAGTTGTATATTTAATAAATTAAGTGGTATTAGATTATTCTTTTTGATTTGTTGTCATTTTAATTTGTTGTTTAAATTAAAATTTCATAATTTTTTTTTTTTTTGTTTTGTGATGCAAAATCTCTTAATGGATCCAAACAACCCAAATTTCCGTCAACAATTTTCTGTTTTTGGTGATGATTTCCTAACTAATCCCGAGTTTCAATTGTTCTTGCAAAGAATGGGAAATACGTCTTTGCAACCACCTCCACAGCATCAGACACCCACTCAGTTTCCCCTACGAAACCATGTTAATGAAGAATGTACACCTGAAACTGATCATGATAGCAACACACAATTCGATGAGAACGAAGAGGATAGCGTACCAGAGACGCCGCAGTATCCACCAGTTCCCAAACTGAAATCCAACGAGGTTGCTGCACGAGCGACTCGAATTTGGTCTGTTGCGGAAGATGAAACTCTGATTGGGTTGTACTTGGAGATCAGCGAGAAATGCTATTAAAGGTACGAGCCAGAAAGAAACTACCCTATGGCGCAATGTACACGCAGCATATCAAAGGGCTCATGCGGAGAAGCCGCATATACTTCCGCCAAGACCTATGAAGAGTCTGACGTCATACTGGAGAAGGTTGGCAGCAGACACACTACAGTGGATATCTTGCTATGATGAAGCGGGTATACTTCCGGAGGGAGGGAGTGGTTACAACGAAGCTGGCAATATAAAAAGTGCGTCGAAGCTTTTTCATCTCGCCCAAGGTCGCAATTTCGCTTTTCCTCACGCGGTTGAAATGCTTAATAAAGATCCAAAGTGGAGGCCAAAGCTGAGATGATCCTTGTCAAAGAAGGAAAGAAAAGCTGCTTGTGATGTTGAGGAGCAAGGTAGTGCTGGAAGTGGGAAGAGGTCTAGAGATGATGGAGGGGATAAAACCCCTACGGATGGTTTTTCATCTGGAGGAATACAACGACCCGAAGGTGTGAAGAAAGCAAAGTCCAAGCTTAAAGGGAAAGAAGTAGCTTCAGAAAGTGGTTCGTCTGTGCTTAGCGAACGAATGAAGGAATTTGCTACAATTCGCGAAAGGGAGGCCATTCTGAAGGAAGAGAGGATCAAAATTGAAAAGGATAAGGAACAGAGGAAACGGGAGGAACTTGACATTCATAAGATGAGAACCATGTTTGATATGCTGCAAACTCTGAAGAATTCGCCTACGCCACTCACTCCTGAAGAAAAGTCGTACAAGAATTTTTCACTGGGTAAATTACAGGACTTTTAAGCATGTTTGGTTGTAGTAGGTTTGCGCTTGTATTAGTTAAGTTTTTAATTATGCGCAATGTAGTCTTTTATGTTTAACTTGTATTAGTGGTGTGTTTAATTTCAATGTCATATGTAAACTTGTATTCTGATTTTCCAATATTGAATGATAAGTTGTTTAATAAGTTGATTTCAGTTGTCATTGTTACCAACATAATTGCATTCAATTGTTGTCATTGGGTAGTCACTTTTTTTTCTGATTTCACTTTAACTTTGGGTCATTCATTCCAACATAATTGCAATAACTCTTTGTCATTGAGTAGTCACATTTTTGTCATTGTGTAGTCACATTTTTTCTGAATTAACTTTGTCAGTATGCTTTAACTTTGGGTCATTGATATATACCGACATAATTACAATAAGTCTTTGTCATGGTGTAGTCACATTTTTCTGAATTCACTTTGTCAAGATTTGTCATTGTCAACTAGCATAGTATACCTATTTCATGGCTTAAAATTTGATTGCTTTAGTTGGTGTGGTCATTCAGATTTGTAACCACATATTCATTTGATATATTTGCTATATATAGTAGGCATGGCACATATCCACAACCACACCAATTCAGAAAATTACAATATTAATACATGATGTATTCCAGACCATCATCAAGTTCAAGTTCAAGTTCATCTTCTTCAAATACTGAAGAATATGATCAACTCGTTGATGAACTCTTCACATACCAACCCCCATCTTTCCTCATGCCCCAAACACAATCCCAACGTACTTCAACAACACGTAGAGGGGGTACGAATAGAAAAGATAGGGAAATGGGACATGCCAGGCTGTTTAATGATTATTTTTCCGATAATCCTGTGTACAACACCACCCAATTTAGAAGAAGATTTCGTATGCAACGACCTTTGTTTTTACGTAGACGTCTTTGACAAACTTCAATAAATTTTTCTGGTTATTTTTCCTATCCTCTTATTTCCGGCAAGTATTCAAATAACCTCCCACGCTTCTTCTTCCCCGCCCAATGCCTCTGAGTTAAATGCATTTCGTCGTTGCATTGATTAGAATCAAAAGATAGAGGGTAGTGGTGCACAGTTGTGACAGCGGTTGTGGTGGTGGTGGCGGCGATCGTGGTATTACTCGTGGTGGCAGTCTAGGTGATGTGTGAGGTGGTCTGATTTTGTGGGTTGAAGGTGCAAACATTTTTGTGTAAGACGATACACCTCATTTTGAGTGCATAAGCTTTGTTTCAATTGCGCAACTCACAAGTTGAATATATCAGGCAGTCAGGGTTAGTGGTTTAGTGTTCATTTGAGTTATTGTATCAATGCAAAGCTTTCGGCAATGGCACAAGTATGAAAACTAGGAACTAACTCAAGTGACTCAGAAATTACACTATTTACATACACCATCTTTCACCCATCCACAAATGTAAAAGATAAGAAAAGCAACCGTGGATACAACTGATTACATTAAGGAAGATATCGCTACTGGAGATACTGCTTCTAAAAGACATGAAACATGACTGAGCAGATAAAAAAAAAATATGCCAATCATGATAGCCAATCTAAAGTTATCCGTCCCTTATCTCCAGTTGCTGCTTCTGACTACCATCAAAGAAGCCGTCCGTGTGTGTGTTAGCGGGTTGTTTTAAAAATCAATTGTCAATCCAGGATTAGTACTACAGATGTGTTGTCAGGCTAATTGTGAGCGGTTAAGCTGTAATGTATGCGTCCTCAAGCTACAATCTTTGACCTAATTTCCAACAGTAGATTTGTCTGTCAGATTACAAATTTAAACTTCGTATATATCTAGAGAAGGAACACCAAGTTTCAGGATCTAACCTGCATGGCAGCTAACATGGACAATACTTCCTTGCTTTTTTTCAAGTAAGACCCTTTCTTTTGTAGCAATATTTGACAGTTCAGCCACCAATGAATTCACTTCCTCCACCTACAAATATAGACAACAGATTAGGTTTATTCAAATAAGGATCAAAATAACAATACAGCAAACTCTGCTAAGGGGCATTTGAACTTTTCACAAGCCTTATCAAATACGAACGTCTGTTTACTTGGCTTCTGAGCTTCAAAGCTTAGCATTCATATCAACAACAACAACAACAAAGCCATACTAAATTTCTTCCTTACTACTTTCTATTCAGTTTACCATTTAATATATTACATACATAAATTTTTGCTCCAAGATCTTGTCAGCACTCTTTTGATATTAATCCATTATCATGCCAGCTACAGTTGGCCGTTCGCTTTTTCCAGATCTAGAAAGAAACTACGTTCTTCTAGGTTGTATTGCAAAATAGCTCTACATAATTAATTAATTAAATAGTCATTTTTATCATCACCATAATCTTTTCCACACATTGTAGGCATTATCTTCAGGCAGGAAAAAAGAGGTAACATTTAGTGCTAGGATATTACATCAACACTAGACAACTACACCTTTTATAAAACATAAACCTTTTGTGACGATTTTACCTACAAATCATTACCTTTTTGCTAAATTATCACCTACTTCAATGTTAGGCTTTATCTGACTCGTTTAAATTGTTTTTAAGAAATAAATTATGGAAATTTGGCAATTTGTGATCCCATCAGCCTACCAATAGTTTGCAGGAAACATCCTTAACACAATAATTAGTACTAAAAAACTGAACTCAAAAACTATGTTTTATGTAGTATTTCCACCTTTGGTTAAACATTAATTCAGAATTAATCAGTTTTGATCAATTCTCAGTATTTTAATTTACTTAATATATTAATATGAAGTCAAGTTACTTCACTGCCACCACGTATTAGAAAAAGAATCAAGTCTAACACCTATTGCTATGTATTAACCAATGAAAAACAGAAAAGGTCTGTATTCATCAATGAAGTGAAAATGAAAGTTTATATTAGCTTGGTTGAGGATTGAGGCACAAGAAATAAAAGCTTAAATTGGTCAGGAGACTCAAGAAAACATATTGCCTAAGACTAGGACCATAAGAAACATATCTAGATTTCTTTCTATCATCATTGAATATTTAACCCTAAAAAGGTTCATTTATGATTACCTTATACTTTGCATATGCAAGCTTATAACCAGAGCATGATAGCCTCATAAAATTGATATGAAATGGGGATAGGGACTTGGATAGGTTCATTTTAATTCATCCATATTTCTTAGTTTGGTATGAGTAGCGAAAAAGATGGGGATATGCAACAGATTTATTAAATACCCTCACTACTCTCCATTATCTCCTGCTTCAATTCTTCTGATTAAAAGAACAATTTTCTAGTCATCCTCATGTCTTACCCCTCCCTTCTATACCACACCTCCCTAGATATAGAAATAGAAATGGAGGGATGGGGGGTGGGGTTATTCCCATCCATATCCCTCATTTTATCCCTCTAGCCCCTACACACAAAAACATGGGATAAGGGAGAATCCCTTATATCACACTTCCATCTGTAGTTTTCAAGCCTTTGTAATGGAGCAAACATATGGAATCAAGCGGAACATATGATAAGCAGAAACTTTACCTTAGTCAGAAGAGAACACGTTGAAGAAGCCATGGACTGCATTACATCGACAGCTGAACCAACAGCTTCCTTTACACTCCGAATATCAACCTGTTAATGACAATAAACAGACAGATCATTACAAAATTCTACGTATCCATTATTTCTGCACTTGCATACAAAAACGTACAACATACAGTTGCTCCCCCAACTACTGGAAGACGGAGGGTGCTAGCCTTTAATGCCTCAATAGCTCCTAGTAAGGAATTGGTATGGTCTTTATCCAGAAGGGACCACTCTTCCAAATACGCCATCTACAAATGAAATGACACAAGTAAATCAGTTCCTCACAACTGACCAAAAATATAGCAATACAAACATCAAGTAGACATAGAAACTTACAAAATGTTCAAGGAAAAAAAAAAACCTATACCAAGTTACAGAAGTGGCTTTCTAAAAATTTATAATACTTAATGTAGAAATTCATTCTTAAAAGCATGTGTTAGTAAATTATACAATGGAATCAGTTGTAGGTTTATAGTTACTTCCATTTTGGAAAGGAAGGAAATGACAATTAATCAGGAGCAGGCTGCAAGATAATGATTGAGAACCTCATCTTTTCAGCCTCTGATTGCTTGAGCAACCTTTGCTACACTTTATAGAATAGTCCAGACTAAACAGTCATCAATGGAAAGTCAAAATATTTTAACTTGTGTTTGTAACGTCTGGTCCGTAAGTGCAGTAAAAGATTACAAAGTATTGTTTTACAGTGAAAAAGCTATGAAAAAATCTATATTGTACCTATGCCATGTTTTCTTATGCAGTGGTGGGCAATGGGGCATCAACTGTTTCTCAACTAATACACAGAACAATACTAGATTTCGGACTAAATGTTTCCTTAATCACCACCAGTAACAGCAGTAAAACTCTCAAACCCTCCAAAAGTTGTAATAGCAATAACAATTAGTCACTCCATCCTCAAGCTGCCTAAAAGTTAAGAATCTTAAGATCCTAAAATCTTAACAGACATTTACATGAGAAAAGGATAGATAGAATCTCAAATCAGCATATAAAATAGTAAAATAACTAGAAAACAGCAATGTCACAAGATTAATAGCAAAGAAAATGGTGCAAACAAGGAGATGAACAAAAGAAGGATGAACAAGAATTTATACTTGTCCCCGAAGGATGGAGCTGAGCTTCAATTTTTGCCTCAGTAGTTGTACTTGTGTTCTTTTATGTCTGACAGAGTCGCGTAAAGCAGTTATTGCTATCCACGCATTCCACAAATTTTTCTGCAAGACCCAAATATATCTTATAACATATATGGCAAAAACTATTAACATACAGATACTAATAAATCACATATACAAACAAAGTTTCCACAAATTCTAAGCAAAACTTTCAAATCGATTTACTAGAAAAAAATTGAACTCTTGTACAATTCTCTTTACTATTAGTAAGCTACAGTCCTCAAGCATGTAAATACAAGACTTGCTTTAGTTTTCTAAGATAGACAACACTCACAACAGCTTCATTAGACAGGTAAGACAGAGCACGGAATTTCTCTAAATAGACTGGATGAGATGATGAATCTCAACAAGTCACATGAAAATTGGGGCTTCTGCTAAAAAGCAGGTGATGTTTGCAAAGCGCAAAGCTGCAAAATCAAGTGACATCCCCTAAATAAAAACATACCTTACTATTACAGTCATTTAAATATCCAAGATCTACAGACTCCTCAGTCCTCACAAATGAAAATTGAAGGTTATGATCTTGAAGCTTGTAGATCCAAGATCGCCCCAGCCCATATTTATTAAGTCATAAATTAAGTATGACACCACTGACATACTTTGGATAATGTCATTTATTACAAACTCCAATAAACCTGATAATTATATCTATTTCTATCTTTGTTCTTAAACTGGCGTCAGGAAATTGGACAAAAGCCTCTCCACCCAACCCCTATGTGTTCCACAAAATTATCAAAGCATTAATATCATATAACAAAAGATGATATGCACAATGGTGGAAACAAGACAATATGGAAAAAGGAAGAAAAACAAAAGGAACTTATTTTAAAGCCCTAAGCTCACCAATCAGTGCAACAGGTACAGCATGGTTGCATTAATAGTCGATTTTTAAAAAGGAAGAACATTACTTCCCTTTTCCCCTCCATGTCAATGAGCTCTCTTGAGATGGGATTAATGTAAAGTTCCGCCCTTCTCAATGAGGGGAAAAGGGCAGAAAAAATAATTAACATTAATTAGTAACAATATTCATAAAAAAAAAAAAAAAAAAAAAAAAAAAAAAATTCCCTTGTTGCCTAATTGTGATAATCAAATCAAGTATGTTTCCTGATTACGAATGTAAGGAGTATCATTTTAAAGATAAATCAAAAGAAAAGTGCACAAATAATGGTAATGTACCTCAGCATTCTGTCTTTGCACTGACAAGGCATCGTCTGCTCTGGCATTTACAAACCGCCATTGTAATTGTCTGTTATAAAGAAGTCTCAACTGATGGGCATCAACAATTCGATTCTCCCCAACCTTTCCTCTTCGAACATCAACTGCAAAGCTTAGAACAGATGGTGTATCCCACGGACTACAACCGACAGAGCTACCAATGGAACTTCTCACCCGAGATGGACTAACTCCCCTCATTGGTGAAGATACTGGTGTGTTCATAAGCTTACTAGGAGAAGCTGCTCTGACAGCTCCTCGAATAGGTGATGACATTGCCCTGGGAGATGACATAGGCCCATCACTGAACTTTTTTGACTGGCTTAATTTCGGAGGGGCAGAAAACTTTGATGTAGGACTTGGTGACAACCCCAACCCAGGATCCTGTAGTCTCCTTAACCTCATATTAGTCTCCTGCCAGAACCTTGCCGAGACTACAATACCACGAGGCACACTACGCCCATGAGACCCATTATTAACATCCTGTGCTCCAGAAGTGCTACCAGAAGAAACACTGTCAGTATCCGAAGCTGTAAGATCAGACGGAACAGAAGAATCATTCACAGAATTCTCATCCATAGCACCCCTAATCCCATTCAAAACATCACCATTACTCGAGTCAAGGTTCAATATCCCATCAAACGACGCCCTTCTACTCTCATCAAGAAAAGAATCCTTCAATGCCCTAGCCACAACACTAGATCCAAGATACTCCTTACTCTCATTATTAGAACAGTCTAAACTCCTGGACAACATATTCAATTCCCGGTTTCGAGCAGGCCATCGATGCTGATCACCAGGCTTAGAATTCGAGTTCGAGTTATCAACCTGATCTCCACCTCCATCAACCTTCCCCTTTACAGGAGTACCTCTCCTCCTCTCAGGTGTAGCCTTCCTAGCACTATTACTATTCCCATTACCCTGATTAACAGCCTTAGTCTTACTAATCGGAAGCGAAAACGATTCCCCTTGAAAAGAGACAGATAAACTCCTAGTTGAAGTGACCAAAAGCTTAGTGGCAGCTGAAATTTCACTAGCATTGGCAACAGGAGTAGGTTTAACAGTCCCAGATCGCCTCCGGTCCACAGATTGCGACCGCTTCGGCGTCACCGGAGTTCTATTGTTTCTAGCTATTACAGGTGAAGGAAATCTTCTAGAAATTGAAGAAGAAGTTGAAGTACTTGAAGTTGAATTAGTGGTAGTTGTACTAGTTGTTGTGCTACTATTTGCAGAAGAAGAAGAAATTGACATATACCTTGAAGGAACTTCTCTGGGTCTGAGCCTTCTGGGTTGTTGTTGTTGTTGTTGCTGCTGTTGATGAACACCATTTTCTCTCTCCTGCTGCAACAATGGCGGCCGAGAATTTGCTGGGTTTCTAGGAGTACCAAATTCAGAAATGGCAGCCACCATTATCATCTAAAAAAATTTAAGAAAAACCCCAGCTCACATTGTAAAATTGAAGACCAAAAACCACAAATTCAGCAAAAATTGTTGAAATTTCACGAAGATTTAAGAAACCCAGATGAAAATTGAAGCAGATTTAGCATTTCCAACCCTTAAATCAGCTTTTTTCCGCCAAAAAATTGAGGGAAATTATCCTAAATTCTGCTGTAATCTTAAATTCAGAGAAAACCCAGAAAAATTCGACACTTGTTGAGTAAATTTCCGGCAAAAAAAAAACTCCAAGAACAGGAAGAAAAAAGGGAGAGTGTAGCAGTGAAGAGTGGGGTCGGTGAAAGAATTGGGGCAAAGAAACATAAAAAGGTAGAACAGTGGATTAGAGTTTTATTTAGTTTGGGGTTTTGTGAATCTTTGGAGAGACGTTACGTTAATGATAGTTTTGTTTAATTTGTTATTAAGTGTTTAGAAAAAATGGATGATTTTGGTAAAAAGATCCAAATGTTTTGGGAGTATATTATTATTAGTAGTATAAAGTTTTCATTTGTTTTCATAAGGTTATTGAAAATGACTACAATACTTGTGGTGGATCCATGTATACAGTGTATTTGTGTATATAGTTTGAGAGTTTGGATACATAATGTCTTTTCAAAATAAAAATGAAAAAATGTTGTTTTTTTGTTGAACTTTTTGAATTTAGAAAATTATTGAATTAACTATTTGAACTTTTAATTTTATAGGAAAAAAAATGATTATGTTGTGTACTTTCATACAATAGTTTGCTATTAAAATAGTATATTGTTTGAGTTTCTGGTTTATTTCACCCAATTACATGTAAGATGGCCACAAAATTAGATGATTTTTTAAAAGAAATTATTTAAAGTACGTTATTAAATATAAGCAAAGAAAAATATATGAATGAATATCAATCAATCAAACCCAAAGGGTAATGAAATTACAACTTTTAACACCGCCATAATGATAGGCATTTAATAATCAGCACAATTAATTTTGGAAATATCACCACATAAGTATCTAACTCTTAAAATTTATGATTACCAAATTTTGGCTTTAGATTCTATGGGTTTAGCTTATGCATCTCTCCAAACTTTCTTTCCACGTATGGTGTACACGTCTAGTAGTATGGTAACCATAAATTTTTTAATATAAATAGTGGACAATTGTAAATGTGGTACATAATTGCCATTGAGGCATTGATTCATCATCAAATTCATGGTTATTGCCAAACACTTCAGCTGCCATAACGATCACGTAAGTAAATAGGGATAATCGATTTCAAGAGTAAAATATCACACCCAAGATTTAGTGATCAATTTCACGGAATTGATTTGTCATGTTCAAAGTACTTACCGAACTAGAACACCTAGCTTAGTTAGCCAAAGTAATGATAAGTCGGAATTAAATCTCATGATCATGTCCTAAAAGCACTTCCCATCCTAAGTGAAATAAAGGATTGAATGTTTTGGTGCCCTAGAAATCTCCTTATTAATAATAGACCTTATTAGCTAAATAATTAAAATAATTTTTTTTTTTTTGAATGGATAAATAAAAATCATTTGTTGGCCTTTATTAACATAACCTTATTTACAGATCCAAGTCTTGTTGGAAAAGTATGAATGGTTAATTAAATTGAATCTCTATTATTCTATAAAACTACACTTGGTAAGAGTTGAATCTGCGAATAAAATTCTGGCGTTCAATGTCATTAAATTACATCTCACAATGACCAATAACTAATAACTATACAAACAAAAATATACTAATATAACAAAATATAATCATTGAAATACAAAAGTGAAAAGGAAGAACACGTTCAAAGAAACCAGACCAAAAAATCATGAATAACTTTGGTAAGAAGGAAAGGAATATATAATAGAATTATAAGGTTAAGGAAAGAAAAGAAGAGAAAGAAAGGGAGCAAGAAAAAGAGAGATCGAGAAAAGAAAAGAATAAGACAGTGCATCTTAAACAACTAAACTTATCAAATCAAATTGGTTAAAGCTTGGCTTGCAAATGTCATTAAAAAGGCTACACCACCTTATTATTATTAATCCAATTTTTAATTAAACTTTACAAAACCGTGCAATTTTTATGTGACATCATTTACTTCACCCGCATTTCTTGAACATCGGCTACTATTAACCTAATTATCAACTTTATTTATTCCATTACTTTATAGAAATTATTTTTCCAATGATGAGTGTTATTACTTACATACTTTAATTAGCCTAGTAATAATAGTAATTAGATTGTTGTATTGGTAGTTACTCTTGTTGTAATGTTGTTATATTATTGTCTAATCATACTAACTCATCACTAATGACATGATGATAGTCAATTATAAATCAATCTTTAATAATCTAGTTAAGATTAAGAATAATAACAAACTTAATATATATTGAAATCAATGGCTCACCATGCATGTATAATGTTTCTTTCAAGTCGTTGTGAGCTTTAAAAAAAAGTAGTTAATGGGGACAATTAAGGACATTAATCTATGGTTTTATGCATATGGGACATAAAAGGTTGGTATAATAATATAATTAAGATGGGTAATTTATATATCCGAACTAAAGAGTTGACCTATATCAAGGACTTTGATCCAATGTTAATTTTATAAGTTACTCATAAAATACGTAATTAATTCCTTGTCAGCATGAATTGAATGTATCAGCTAACAGTAGAGGCCAAACTACCAAATGAGTACTTTAGTATACCTTATTTAATTTTTACATGTGTATTTTAAGAAATTCCAAAAATGAGAGATTATCCATAATAAAACTCTTGTGGCACTAGATTTTTATTTTAGTATTGTATCTATTACGTCACTCATTTGGTAAAAGAAAAAATAAAGCTTTGACATTTATCACAAAAAGGTAGAGAGTAATCATTTACGTATGCTGCTATCTATATCATATGAATAATCTTTGAATGAGAGGAATTCTTTTAGTACGACCTAAGTAGTTGTGCAACGTGGAGTCGTGGATAATATAGTTCTTTGTTGATGCTAAGCCTTCAAAGTGTCTGGCAAGCTAGGCCAAACCAGGCCAAATTTTATTGGGATTTTGTTACAAAGAGAAAATTAGCCTCAAATTTTAAGGTTTTTGGTCAAAATGAGAGATTTTTCAAGTTCAAATTCGAACAGCCAAACAGGTCTCTATAGTCAGAATTTTTTTATCACCTCTAATTAACGAGAAGTATAAGTTTTTGCTTCTGTGCCGTATTTTAATCTTAATTAGTTGTAATGATTACCTCATTAGTAAGGAAAAAAACACAAAAAGAAAAGGCGCCAAATTTTTTTAACATTAACAAATATAGATAGACAAGTTAGTTATGTTATGAGTATCAATTAATCAATAAATTAATCAATATATATCAATAAATTAATCAATATCAACATATATCTATAAATTATAGCACCAATATATCCATTGAACTAAAACGAAAGCCATAATAAAAGTATATTAATTTATAAGCACGTGTAACATTGATGACTTAAAATCAAAGTACTGTTAAGCTGTTAACTGAAGCAATTGCAAAAGATAATGGAGTAGCCACCAATAGTCGTACATATAATTAAATTAATTAGTACATGTCTCATGTGTTTAATAAAGTACAAGCTAAGGAGTAGCAATACCTCATGATCACGGACGCATTTAATCATCTAAATTAATTTTATTTATTTGCATTATATATTATAATAAATACAAGTTCAAGTGTATGAAAGAATAATTACATATATATATATAAAGGAGAATTTTTTCCCGAGTTTTTAGAACGCCACTTAGGATTTTATGTTTTTAAAAAATTATAAGAGCGCTATTTAGGATTAATATTTTTAAAACGCTACAATCAGATTATGCCATGTAAGATTAGTTTTTTTTAAAGTGCTAAGTAGGATTATAATAAAAAAAAAAAAAAAAAAAAAAACGCCACATAGGATTAATAATTTTAAAACGCTACAATAGGATTATGCCACACAAGATTAATTTTAGAGCGTCACATAGGAAAATGTTATATTTTAGTCAATGAGAAAAAAGAATTGCAATTTATTTTAGATAAAAAAATTTATATTAATTATAAAAATAAGATTAGCGCGTTTTTTGTGTGGTTGGTCATATCGTGTGGCCGGATGAGACACAACCAAACACTGACCAAATAACCTTTGATCGATTGAGTAACCCTTGATCAACCAAATAACTCATAACCAAGTAATCCCGACCACACGGTGTGACCAGCCACATACGAAACTTTGTAAAGTAAAATATTATCTATTTATATTATGAATTTTATCTAAATATGAGAAGAAAAAAAAATTAATAATTCATTTTATGATAAACAATTCAAGTAGTAAGCAAGCGAATATCACAAAGTTTATTAGATAAATATATATTTATTAAAATATTTTATATAAAAAATAAAAACAAACCGTGCATTGCACGGGTTTCATCTAATTTTGATGATTAGCTAGTTTATCAAGTCCATGCAATGCACAACACTTTTATTATGGAGTATTATGAATTTATGACTCACAGAGTGTGACATTATATAATAAATTTAATTAATTTTATAGGATGTGTTGGTGATATCACAGAGCAAATAATAGTTATGTTGAATTTGAAGAATAGGCACTAACAAGACAACAAGTGCTTGGATCAAATGGCAAGGATAGATGTTGTTCCAATTTAATCATGGTATTAGGTTTGAGACTTAATTGGGAACGCACTGTCAGGCCGCTGATGCTTGCTCATACACACACTAGTACAATATTGTTTACTTTTGGCCAAGGTCGCACGGTTTTGTTATTGAACTCCTTCCCAAAAGGCCTTTTACTAGTGTATTGAGCATCACTATATACATAGCTCATTCCCTTGCTATTTCTTCCATGTGGGACTTGGGATGAAATTCCCAACAATCCTTCCCTCAGACTAAGGACCACATCACCACTCATGGCCTTCCCTCGAACGATAAACCCTGATCTGTTACTCGCCCCCTTTTCAGTACCGCCGATGCACTATCGGAACCTATTGCCTTGATTACAGCATCAGCTGAACATGGTTCGCAAACCACCGGACGATGCCCACTCACTCCAACCACGAGTTACAGGGAAACCCCATCGGTTACAGGACCACCGCAAACCACCGGATCATGCCCACTCGCTCCAACATCGAGTTATAGGGCAACCCCACCGCTTACAGGACATCCCCTAGTCCCTCCAGATTGAACACCATCAAAAAGACTTTCGACACAAAGGGCACATATCACCAACTTCGAGGACGCACGAGGAACACCCCCACATACTCCACGGTAGCCACTCGCCACGGACCGAATCGCTCGGATCTGATACCATTTGTCGGGCCGCCGATGCTTGCTCATATACACACTAGTACAAAATTGTCCACTTTTAGCCAAGCCCGCACGGTTTTGTTTTTGGGCTCCTTCCCAAAAGGCCTTTTACTAATGTATTGAGAATCACTATATAAATAGCTCATTCCCTTGCTATTTCTTCCATGTGGGACTTGGGATGAAATTCCCAACACGCACCAATACTTGTTGG